ACACAGCACAAGGACAGTACAAATGTTCACATGTCACTTTTATAAACACCTTCAAATCTGAGCCCATGCTGAGTGAATCAAATACATATTTGCCTTACTCATACAACAAAGTTATTTGTTCTAAGATGAGTCTAAATAAAATATTGTCACCAAAATATTTAGGTTCATAAGCACACTCTTTAAAATATGGCCAATATAATAAATATAAAAAAGAACATTCACTTCACTAACACAAAAATGAAAATTAAAACAGGATATTTTTTCATCTATTGAATTAGCAAGGATTTTAGAATTATAAAGATGTCAGGACTGTGTGGAGAAAGTCAGGTATTTTCATCTGCAGTAGTAATAGATGCAATATTTCTAGAAAACACTTGGGATAATGTATCAAAAGCCTTAAAATATCTCTGTCATTTACATTATTACATATCTTTAGCAGCCTTACTTTCCTATATCAAAAAAGACTGGAAACATCCTTAATAGCCATCAAGATGAGAGTTTAGTACATTACAGTATATCCATGGAAGTAGAACATAGAAGCAACTATAAGAATATTTCTGAAAACATGGGCAGGAAAAGAATTAGGATATACAAGTATATAAGCTATTTGAGTGCATTTATCACTTTTCTTTTTGTAAAGAAAAGTAATACATAGAAAAAGGACAAAAAAGAAAGCAGAAAATTCACTACACTAGACCAATAGTTTATTTCTAGGTTGTGGGATTCTAGATTATTATTTTTTCTGTAAATTCTTATATTGTATAAGGTTTTCTAAAATGACATGAATTACTGTTTTAAGTCAGAAAAAAATGTAAATCTTATTTTATCAAAACATGGTTAATAGAAACAGATTTACTCCTGGTTAAATCCATGGAAAATAATGTTATTAATGAAAATACCATGATCCCCAAACTGCAGTCAATCCAAATGCAACTAATCACACTCTGAAATGATTTTATAATCTTAAAAAAGCCAAGTCTCTACCCAAAATTATATGACAGACATCTTAATGCCTGCGTTTGCCACTAGTGTTCTAGGCTTTCCCTAAATCAGGGAAGACTGATGAAGTTTTGATGCAATATCACCCTTTTGCTTGATATAAAAGGCCTTCCAAAATTGGAAGAAATTTCCACAGGAAATTCAGACACCATTTTGGAAGTGAGAGTTATGACATGTCTTGACAGTTGTCACTGTTAGCTAAAAGCTTCCCCTTTTATTGCCTTTGAAATCATAAAGCATTTACAGAGTGTCATCCATTGAGGAAGAGCCTTGAAGTATATACCCAGTCATCCCCCTTTTCATTTTCATATAATAACTAGAGGCCCAATGCATGAATTTGTGCACTGGTGGGGTCCCTTGGTCTGACTTGTGCCATATCACAATCTGGGACCCTTTGGAAGATGTTGAAGCCAGGTGCACAGATTTGGCCCAATCCCTGCAGGCCAGGCCCAGGGATCCCATCAGTGCATGAATCTGTACACTGGGCCTCTAGTATGCATATAAAATCTTTAGTTAATTTCTTCCTGATCTCCTTCTTCCCCCTTCCCTCTGAGATTTATCAGTCCGTCCCATGTTTTCATGCCTGTGCATTGACCCTGCTGGTCAGTGAACATCACAGCTACCAATTGATTGGTCGAATGGTCACTTAGGCTTTTGTATATATTAGATATACATGCCTTAAACTTCTGAATAAAAGTAAAATAATGAAATTTACAACAGGCCAATCTGCTATAATATTTTACTAGTTTTCACTGGTTTTATTTATTTATTTTATTTTTATTTTTTTATGGTGGTGGTAGGTAGGATTTTTTTTTTTTTTTTTTTTTTTTTTTTTTTTTTTTTTTTTTTTTTTTTTTAGTGATTCTAAGAGTGGGTCTTTATTTTTTTTTAACCATTTATTTATTTATTTATTTATTTTTACATATTTTATTGATTTTTTTTTTGCCCCCCTCCCTCCCTCCCACACATCCCCTGTTTTCACTGGTTTTAAATGTTGCAGAATGAAATACATAAACAAAATCATCATTATTTATTCCTTGCCTTGTATAAATGTTCCACTGGCCTTCAATGACTGACTATTTCAGTGCACTATTGGGAGACATGAAATAAATCTTACAGATTAAAAGTTTAAAAGTTTTAGAATGTCACCTCAAAACTTCACTAATTTAGTAAATGTCCTTTATTAAACTGGTGTGGAAATCCAATTGACCCTTGAATAACACAGAGGTTAGGAGAGCTGACACCTCAATCTCATGTATAATAATAAAAAATCCACATATGACTTTAAACTCCTCAAAAACTTAACTACTAATACTCTATTGTCGACCAGAATCTTCATGGATAATATAATAGTTGATTATCACATGTTTTGTATGATATATGTATTATATACTATATTTTTTACAATAAAGAAGCTAGAGAATAGAAAATGTTAAGAAAATCATAAGAGAAAATACAATCATAGAAATAAATCCAAATATAAATAGACCCACATAGTTTAACCCATGTTATTTGAGGATCAACTGTACCTGGTTGAGTATAATCATCAACCACAATGCAACTTTTCTACTTAGTAGTGACAATTCTACATTGTTCATGCTACATCTAATACAGCACCAAGATCTGCGACCCATAGGTTGAGAACCAGGTCTCCTAAGTCCATTGAAAAATTCAGTTATTTACAATTATGATTCATAACAGTAGCAAAATAACAGTTATGAAGTAGCAACAAAAATAATTTTATGGTTGGGGATCACCACAACTGAGGAACTGTATTAAAGGGTCGCAGCATTAGAAAGGTTAAGAACCACTGCTAAATAATGAAAAGGTAATATTCAAAGTGACCATCACTCCAACACACAAGATGGCCAACCCCATGTGGCCAAAGATGGATGGCCCCCTCTGAACACAAGATGGCTGCCATAAGTTACCAGCAGGGGAGAGCAGTTATGGGCTATCAGACCAGCAGGGGAGGGCAGTTAGGAGAGACCAGGCCTACAAGGGAGGGCAGTTATGGATGACCAGGCTGGCAGAGGAGGGTAGTGAGGGGTGTCCAAACCTGCAGAGGAATGCAGTTGTGGGTGACCAAGCTTGCAGGGGAGAGAAGTTGGAGGGGACTAGGCCTGCAGGAGAGGACAGTTAGAGGTGACCAGTCCAGCAGGGGAGGACAGTTATGGGCAACCAGGTCAGTAGGAAGGGCAGTTAGGGGGTACTGGCTGGCAGAGGAGGGCAGTAAAGTGTGACCAAAGCTTCAGATGAGTGCAGTTGGGGGTGACCAAGCCTGAAGGAGAGGGTAGTTGGTGGGGACCAGGCCGGTAGGGGAGGGGTTTGGGGGCAACCAGGTCAGCAGGGGAGGACAGTTAGGGGTGAGTGGGTCAGCAGGGGAGGGCAGTTGGGGGTTATCAGGCTGCAGGGGAAGAAAGTTAGGGGCAACCAGGCTGGCAAAAGAGGGCAGTTTGGGGTAATCAGGTCAGCAGGAGAGCAGTTAGGTGTCAATCAGGCTAGCAGGCATAAGTGGTTAGGGGCTACCAGGCAGGAAGGCAGGTAAGCAGTTGGGAGCCAGCAGTCCTGGATTTTGAGGGGGCAGTTGGACATCCCTCGAGGGGTCCCAGATTGGAGAAGATGCAGGCAGGGCTGAGGGACACATACCTCTTCCTATGCATGAATTTTGTGCACCGGGCCTCAAGTTTTAATGATGATGTTTCTGGGCATGGGTCTGTTTGGATTCTTCTTACTTGGGGTTCTCTGTACATCCTGTACTTGTGTGACATTTTCCTTTACCAGGTTATGGAAATTTTAGGCCATTATTTCTTCAAACACGTTCTCTATCTTTTTTTGACTCTTCTGCTATTTAAATATTGGTTATTTTATTTATTTATTTATTTACATTGTTTTATAGCTCACGTAAGTTGTCCTGTTTTTTAAGCGGGTTTTTTTTTTCTTTTTAGTCCTAGTGATTTTTTTTTTTTCAACCCTGTCTTCTAATTCACTGAGTTGATTCTTGGCTTCCCCTAATTTGCTGTGTATTCCTTCCAATGTGTTCTATATTTGTGCTATGTCATTCTTTATATCTGTTTTCATAGTTACCATGCTGTTGAGCATCTTTACCATCATTATTCTGAACTCTATATCAGATAAATTTCTTATCTCCATTTCACTTATCTCTTCTTCTGAAGAATTCTCTAATTATTTCATTGATGGTTGTTTCTTTGTCTCCTTACCATGAGGTGAGGTGTTTTCCAATAGGGTGGGTCAACTATTTTCTCCACAGGCACAGCTGCCTATATAAGAAATGTCTGCATGAGAAAGATAATTTCTGCAGCATGAGGGAATGACTCAGTGCCAGAAACTGAGGTGTCTGCCTCCTGAGTTCTAACCCCAGAGCTCCTCAGCTCTAGTCCACTCTGTCCACACTCTGCCAGAGCACAAGGTGAGTTGCTCCACAGAGAACTTTGTGCATTGGCCCTTTAATAAGGTACCTGCATTTTCAGCAATTTCTCCCTAGAAGACAGCCACCCTGCTGCTTTCACAGCCATATGTTATGTGGATACCCTTTCTCAGTTCTGGTGTTCTCTGCTGGAGTGCCAAGCTTGGAGATTAGACCCCAGAGTTCTTAGTAGCAAATCCCACAGTTGAAATATCTCTCCATAACTTCAATTATAGTCTGTGGGAGCCCGGCCTGTCCTTTCATGACTCCACCCCTCCTACCAGTCTCTATGAGGTCTCCATTTTCCATCCTCATTTATCTGGTTTCTTTCCAGTGAGTCTTCTGTTGATTATTCAGAAAGTTATTATGTATTTTAGTTGTCATTCCAGTATGGTCCTGGGAGTTTGTCCTTGTAGCATCCACTTACTACACTGACACTTTTTTTTGTATATTTTTATTTATAACATTATCATGTTTCCTAATACAACTTAAATAGAATATTTCACCAATATTGCCTCCTTCACATGACAATTTCATCACTAAAACATAAATGAAAATAGAAATACCTACTTACTCACAATACCATTTCCCCAGAACATAAGCACAGCCAGCATTGGGAAAATAATAATAAGCATATGTTCATTTGAAGACATCCATAAAACTGGAAAGGAAAAAAAAACACACACAAAAATCATGATTAACATTTATTATCATAAATTTATGTCCAGTCAATTAATGGTTAACAATGTTTTTTATTGTGGAGATAGAAAATTAAAATAATGAATTAAAACCATGGCTTATGTAAATACATAAATAATTACAGATATATTTAATTAAATAAATATTAATGAAAAAAGTTATTTATTTTTCCTAATTTGTGATTTATGGAAGGAGGTAGTATACACCAGAAGATGAGAAAAGGGCTCTAGAGCCACACTCCCTGGGTTTGAAACACAATTCTAACTTACAATCTTTGTGATCTTGGATAATCTCACACTTTTCTGTTCTTCATTTGCTACATGTATACAAGTAATGACACCTTGAAGGACTGTAGTTAACTGTTAACAAAGTTAAAATATGCAAAGATCCAAAAACAAAGCTTGTCCCCCTCAAAGTGCTCTGTGAACATTAACTACGGTTAGTATTATGCCCTCCTATGTATAATGTGCTAAGAATTTACCTTAAAGCAAGAGTTGTCTTCCTGTAAAGACTGACTCAGGAGACAAAAGTGAGGAACTAATGCAACTGGATATCTTACACTTGATTTTACTGTGACCTAAGACAGATGTGAGCCTTAGATTTTCTAATGAATTCATAAATAACTATTCTTAAAATGACTATTGACAAAAAGTAACATGAAAAGCTTTAGGTAGTAAGGAAGCTTCTATCAAATAGAACATGTGTTACCCAAACAGTGAAAATGCAACTACCCATCCTTTAGAAAGGAAATTGTGATATTAAGACTTCCAGTGAAATTTTCTGAGAACTTTAAAAAATTATGTTTAATTCCATCTGATCAATGCTTAAGGCCATATTTTTATCTATGAAATTCCTTTTGTAACAATAAAGCCAGGTATATGCACTGAAAGCATTTCAGAATTTGCCTATACTGACGGACATGCTGGGTGAGGAACACTCTGAATAGTGCATAAGGTAAGCACTGGTGTTGCTCTGAAATTATCCCTTTCAAATCCTCCACTACATCTGCATATGAGGATCCTTGTGGGCTTTCTCACCCCAATGCAATCACACATTTCTTGGGTTAAGCTTATAATGCTAAACTCTGGTAAATGTTTACAATCATCCCCAGAATATAACACTATCATTTCTTATCTTTGAGAGAGTAGCTTCCTAGATTCCAGCATTTTGCCCTGTATATGGCAGAGACTCAGTAGGTTTACTATTGGTGGTTGAAATAGTCATAAGACAGGTTAGTGAGTGAATAGAAAACAGGTTTTTTTGATGCTCTCTTGGTTGCAGATCCAGCAAGAGACTGAATTTTCAAGTACCCAGAATCAAAGTCACTTTAATTTCCAACTGAATTACTGAACATCTTTCTATACCAAAGAAAGCCCATTTCCATTCAGCCTAAAATCTTATATGAAAAAACGTTCTGAATTATGCTTACGTTTCCATATGCCTGAAGGATCTAGTCAAAGCTCTATAATCTAATGACTATTTTTAATCAACTTCTTTTCTTCTACTCACTTTATTATTTGGTTTTAAAACATTAACTTTTCAATCCTTATAATGATTATATGAAGAATTATGAACCCCTCCTTAATATTGGGGAAAAAATGGAGATACAATGAATTAAGAATTTTAAATATGTATGACTCAAACTGGATCTTGATACTCCTTCACCCACACCCCAAATGGGAACAAAGATGGGCCACCATTAATCCACATTCTACTAGGTAGAATGCTCTAGTAAGAAATTTCTAGTTTTCATTTATGTCTATATTTGAAAAAAAAAAAAAAAAAAGCACAACATAGTAAAAATGGATTCTAGTGCCTAAATATCCAGGTTTCACCATGATGGGTAAATTCATCAAAATAAATTTGCAAGAACACTGCTTCAATTAACCATTTTGGGCATAGGAGTTTCCTTTTTTACCTTAAAAAATGGTGCAAAACTATGACAACTCCAGATATTGCAAGGATGTTGGGGAATTACATTGCTCATATGTTGCTGATGGGAATGTACAGAGTGGTACAACCACTCTGGAATACAGTTTGGTAGTTTCTTCAGAAACTAAGCCTATACATACATACAATCTAGGAGTTGTACTTTTCTATGCATTTACCCAGGTGAATGAAGGCTATGTCCACACACACACACACACACACACACACACACACACACACATAAATAAATAAATAAATAAAAAACCAACAAAACTGTATATCATAGAAATGTCATGAGCAATAGCACAAAACAACTGAAAATAACCAAGATGTGTTGTATCATATGGACAGTTCAACAAGGTGTGATATAATAATAGCATTGAATATTACTGAGAAAGAGAGATAGAGATAGCAAGAGAGGAGAGAGAGAGAGAGAGAGAGAGAAAGAAAGAGAAGAGAAAAAGAGATTGCTACATGATGCTGTTGTATGAATAGATATCCCCCTAAACACTCCCATGCCAGCCTAATGGATGTCTTAACTGCTCCCCTGCCAGCCTGTTTGCCCCCAACTTCCCTCCTCTGCCAGCCTGGCCATCCCTAACTGCCCTCGCCTACAGGGTTGATTGTCTCCAAGTGCCCTCCCTTGCAGACCTGGTCCCTTTCAACTGCCCTCCCTTATAGGCCTGGTCCCTCCCAACTGTCCTCCCCTGCTGGCCATCTTGTGGTGGCCATCTTGTGTCCACAAAGGGGCAGGATCTTTGACCACATGGGGGCAGCCATATTGTGTGTTGGAGTGATGGTCAATCTTCATATTTCTCTTTTATTAGATGGGAAAGAGAGAGGCCTGGTGCAAGGGTGGGGGCTAGCTGGTTTGCCCTGAAGTGTGTCCCAGATCAGGGTAGGGGTTCCCTTGGGGTGTGGGGCAGCCTGAGCCTGGGGCCTGTGGTGGTTTGCAAGCTAAACACACCCCCTGATAACCCAAGTAGAGGCCCTGGTATCTGGAATTTATTTACCTTCTACAGTTGAAACAATGTAGCCTAGAACAGAGCAAAGCCCCCTGCTCACTCCAGCTGCCAACATTTTTGTTTGGTTTTATGATATGTGTCTTCTATAATTGAAACCTTAACTGGAGGCCTAGGCCAGTAAGGGCAGGTGGAAAGCTTGGCTTCTGTTGTAGGGGAAACCCAAGCCTCTCAACTACTCTCTGTGGCTGCAGCCATCTTGGTTTGGGTTAATTTGCATACTCGCTCTGATTGGCTGGTGGGCATGGCAGGTGGGCTTGGCTTGAGTGGAGTGATGTTTAATTTGCATATTACTCTTTTATTAGATAGGATAAACATAGTATTTGATAAATGCTCATTGAGTTGAATGCTAGGATGCATACTGAAATAGGAACTAAACAATGTTCAGAAAACCTGAGAAAAAATGCTACATTTCCCTTGACAGGATGTGACCATAAGCAATTCAAGCAACTTTTCTGTGCTTTGGTTTACTCTCTGCTACTAAGAGGATTAGAAATCAACACAGATCTGCTTCACAGAGTTGTGGTAAGCATCAAAGGAGCAACTATAATACATGGACAAGTGCCCTCTTAGCAATGTTGTGCCATACATATGCAGGTAAAACTCTAAAAACTGGGCAAAACAGCATTTTTATGCAATGATCTAAATCTTCTCTGACTGGGAGGTGCAAATTGTTAAGTTTCTGGGAACTTGCAGTCTGAACCAAGCTTGTGGATCACAAGATCCCTTCTTCCCAGTTCTCTACACTTCTAGCCATCCCAATAGTAGGAAGCCTCAGGCAAAACCTAAACTTCCAATTGAGTTTTTCAACATCTTGGGGTTCTGAATCATTTCCCCTGGGACAGAAGCATTAAGGGGAGGGGGCAACGGTGCACAAAAAGGAGAGAAGGAAGTGGTTGAGATGTTGGAATTAGAAAAGAGGAAAGAGTCAGAAAATACAGTGCACAATTCTGAAGTTGACAAGAGGATTAGCTAGTGTCCTTTCAGTGGGGATCTGGACATTGTCTGACAAATTCTTTGGGAATATCTGGTTTTGTAGGGGCCTGTGCCTTTCTCTGTGTTTTATAAGCTGTAGAACTCAGACAGTAATACAAATTACTCTTGTCCATAGAGAGAGAAATAAACTTTGTTCTGCAATGGATTTCACCCTGGTGGAAGAGGATTGAACAATTACATTTTATTTTTCTAAGGATGCTGTCCAATTGCATATATTCATTAATTCATTTCAGTGTTACTGATTGCCTATATGTGTTTCTTTTCTCTCAAGGTTATTTAAAAGCCAAGATGGCCTTACCATGATGGTAGCATGCTTATTGGACAATTTCATAACTTATGCTTAAAGAATTGATTTCCTACAGAATACAGGAAGTACTAATTGTACTGCATTATTTGTTGTAATATACAAAAATGAAAAACTGAAGCACTTAAATAGAATTAGTGCTGTTAATTAAATTCAAATAAAATTCACCTGGATAAGCCATAACTTGAATAACCCTTGCATATAATTAATAAATAAGGGTAGTCCAAAAATGACACTCTACCAACTGTTGAGCACAACCTTATCTTCTATAAACACTTATTTAAACTCTATTAGTAATAAAATTATCTAATTTGGGTATTCTCTCTTTTGCCTACTATTTTCTGATAGAACAGCAAAGGGAAGAAAAGGTTTGAAACCCTAAATAAAGAATACAAATAACTGACATGAGTAAGAAAACTGAAAAATAAGATGTTCCAATAGAAGTCCTTATCAGATAGAAAAGTATTAATACAACCATCTTTGATGCCAATACAAATAATTAAATATAAAATGGCAAATGGCGAATTATTTTATATTAAATAACATTTGCAAAGTACTTTGATTTACAAAAGACTGGTACACAAGGGATCTCATGATGCTTATTAGACTGGAGAATACATAAAAGCAGGAATCTCTTTTTATTCCCATGTAGAGATGACATATCTTGGACCCAGTGAAGTAACTTGTCAAGTTTAATGGAGGCAAACAGTTAAGTTGCAGAATCATATGTCCTGGTTCCTAAATCTAAGCAATGTCAAAATACTCCATCAGAATTAACACCGCATTCCCAATCTGGTAATAGACATTTCATAATTGGAAATGCTAGAAGAAAAGAAGGCAAATAGTTGGTTCAACTGAATGGTCTGATCTCATCTAAAGCAGAGCCTCTCAAAGGCTTGTCTAATTCTGAGAGCAGTAATGTGTCTATTGGGTCTCATAGAGCTTTTAAAATAGAACGTCAGTATGCACCTGTATGTGGTTAGAATAATCAGCTGGCATGGTAAGGACTAGAAAAGAAAGCAGATTGTTTACTTCAGCTAGCTTTACTGCTTTATGCAATTTACCACCCAAGTCTGTGAAGAAAGGGCACAGTCATGGTGCTATAACCAAGGCTGAATTTAAATTAATTCTATTGGATACCTAGCTCTTCTTTATGTTGACCAACAAAAAGAACAAGTACTAAAGCAAGAAACCTCGTTATGACCTGATTTTGGATTTTGTGATTCTCCTAATCTATCCTTTCTTGCTATCTCATGGCTGCGATTTGTCAGCCCTTGACCAAAGTGCAGATAATAAAAAATGGTGCATCATTGGAAAGATCATGGAAAATTAATCACATGAAAGATATCACTTTTGATAGCAGCAAACAGAAATGCAGATTAAATGATGTCTGGACCTCTACACCAGCAGAATAGTTCTTAGAACAAAAGTTTGAGAACCTGACAATACACAAATAGCACAACAAAGGAGTTTTATCATGAAAAGTAGAAGAGCATGTAAAACAAATTACCTTAAAGCTGCTAAATGTTATATAAACATTTATTAGTCATAATCTACTTTTTGATTCAAAGGAGATCCTAGCCCCATTGTGCCACATTTCTAATAGGATCACTTCAGGACAAATAAAAGGGAAAATTATGAAATTCTTACCATCATGATATTTTAGTACTATGGTGGTTTCACCTACTCTCGTTGATTCTGCTACTTCACAAATGTAGTTTCCTGGGATAGCTTGGCTCTTGTCCATAATCAAAGAGGCATTGCCTTTTAGTAGTTCCTTTAGTATGATGTATGCACTTGAAAAATTTCTGATGGGCACGGATTGATTTTTTATTCCATCATAATAGAAAATGGTTTTACCTCTGAATTTCCAAGTTACATACATGTTTTTCTGGCTCAGTTCGTCCACATTAGTGCGTAAGCATGGTATGAGAATTGTATCATTGCAAATGTTGTAGTCTACAGATTTAATTGTAGTAAATAATAGCTGAGTTTTAACTGGAAAAGAAAAAGAAAATAGTTTCATTTCATTATAGAATTCTATAGGGTAAGGTCTTAGGGGGACATTAAAAATCCTTATGATAAAAGAGCAATGTTTCAATTGTCCCCTTAAGTAAGCAGTACAGCTACAGAGAATAGGCAAGCCAGATTAAAAAGTAAAACAAGTTATAAACTTGATGGTAGATACCATTGTAGCTTTTCCTTATTCATTCCCAGAAATACAAAGTATATATTACCAAGAGTATTGGAAATGAATTCAGCAACCTATGTTGAATCATGCAGGTATAGTATTTTGGCATCAGAAGCTTTGAAATCATCATTGCTGCTCACTGATATATGTAGAAAATTCTTATTCTTTTTTTTAAAAATATATTTTATTGATTTTACAAAGAGAGGAATTGAGAGGGACAGAGAGTTAGAAACATTGATGAGAGAGAACCATTGATCAGCTGCCTCTTGCAACCCCCCATTGGGGATATGCCCGCAACCAAGGTACACGCCCTTGACCAGAATCGAAGCCGGGACCTTTCAGTCTGCAGGCCGACGCTCTATCCACTGAGCCAAACTGGTCCTGGCAGAAAATTCTTATTCTTATCATGGAAAGTTTTTGAACAGAAAATCAAACCAAATATTATATTCAGTTTCAACTTCTATGTACTGCCTCCAAACAGAACTTGCTGAACCCATATCCTAAGTAATAAAGAGGCAATATGCAAATTAACCATCACTCCAACAAACAAGATGACCACCTGCATGTGGTCAAAGATGGACACCCCCATGTAGACAAAAAATGGCTGCCACAAGATTGCCAGCTGGGGAGGGCAGTTGTGCATGATCAGGCCTTCAGGGGAGGACAGTTTGGGAGGGACCCAGGCCTGCAGGAGAGAAAAGTTGGAGGAGACCAAACCTGTAGAGGGGGGCAGTTGGGGACAACCAGGCCAGTAGGGGAGAGCAGTTAGAGGCAATCAGACCAGCAGGAGAGGGCAGTTAGGGGTGGCCATACCTTCAAGAGTGTGCAATTAGGAGCAACCAGGCCTATAGGGGAGGACATTTAGGGGGGACTAGGCCTGCAGGGGAGGGAAGTAGGGGGACAGGCTTGTAGGGGAGGGAAGTTTGGGGGGACCAGGCCTGCAGGGCAGGGTAGTTAGGGGTGAGCAGGCATGCAGGGGAGGACAGTTGGGGGTGACCAGGCCTGTGGGAGAGATCAGTTAGGAGCAATCAGATTGGCAGGGGAGCAGTTAGGCATTGATCAGGCTGGCAGGGGAGTGGTTAGGGGGTGATTTGGCCAGCAGGCAGAAGCAGTTAGGGACAATAAAGCAGGCAGGCATGTGAGTGGTTGAGAGCCAGCAGTCCTGGATTGTGAGAGGGATGTCCAACTGCCTGTTTAGGCCCAAAATGGTCAGTTGAACATCCCTTGAGGTGTCCCAGATTGGAGAGGGTGCAGGCTGGGCTAAGGGACACACACACACTTGCCTGTGCATGAATTTTTACACTGGGCCTCTAGTGAAGTTTATATGTATCTTTAGGTTGCATTTGCAAGCAATGTCATGAGATATACTGTACTTTAATATAAAAAGTAAATCGGATGAATCACATCACATCTTTCCTCTAAGATGGGAGTCAGAATGCTAATAAAAAAATATTCTCTGGCTATATCCCATTACAAAATACAGAATGCAATGGACATTTGGTATGCAAATAGTATAAAGAGATATATGCAATTAAAATCATTTTCTCACTCCCATATTTCATTGAAACTACAGAATAACAATTTCCAAATGCATATTTCAGGTATTCCTTCTGCCTAAAAACCATAAATCACTCAAAATAAAGCTAAGAAGCAGTTGAAATCAAGAGCAGATATTGCTGGTAAAAGGCTTTATTCTACTAAACACTTCTCAAAATAATAAACTACCACTTGTCTTATGAAACAGAGTTGGGAAGGTAATTGCAATCACTCATCCTTCACCTAAAATGTGCAAGATTGTGGGGAAATTGCAATTCTTGTCCATTATTTTTCAGCCATTTATTAATTATTCTATTTAAGTAGTTAATTGGATTTTCTCTGAAAATTCAAAGCTCTATCAAATATCAATATCAACTTCAATAGTTCATCCTTACAATTTCTTTCTTGTATATAAATAGGGACTAAAACTCAGGGTCATAACATGCTATTATTCTAGGAACATAGCATTTGGTAAATGCCCACTGAGTTAACTGCTAGGATGCATAGTAAAATATGAACTGGATAATGTTCAAAAATCCTGAGAATAAATGCTACCTGTCCCTTTTCATTATGTGATGTTAAAACATCTAGTTAAAAAAAATAAAAAATAAAAAGCAGGAGGAGAGCCTAAGGGAATTTTGGGACAATACAAAAAAAAAAAAAATTAGAATAGGGGTGCCAGAAGGAAAGAAAACTGAGCAAGGAATAGAAAACCTCTTTGAAGAAATAAGGACAGAAAACTTCCCTGATATAGATAAGAAAAAAACTCACACAAATCCAAGAAGCTCACAGAGTCCCAAACAAAATGAAACCCAAAATAATGATACCAATGCACATTATAATTAAATTGGCAAACACCATCAACAAATTAAGAATATTAAAGTGGCCAGATTGAGACAGAAAATTACCTACAAAGGATTTCCCATAAGATTAGTGACTGATTTTGCAACAGAAACACATCAGGCCAGAGGAAATGGATGAAATGTACAAAATGATGCAAAGGAAGGATCTGAACCCAAGAATACTGTTTCCTTCAAGGCTATCAATCAAAATTGAGGGTGAAATCAGGAGCTTCACAGACAAAAAGGACTAAGGGAGTTTATTACCATCAAACCAGCAGTGCAAGAAATGCTAAAGGGTCTGCTGTAAAAATAAGAAATAGAAATCAAAGATAGAAGACAGTCATAAAGAATAAAAATGGGAACAAATAACTACCTATAAATAATAACTTTAAATATAAATGGAATTAAATGCCCCAATTAAAGACATAGGGTGGCTGAATGTATAAGAAAACATGAACCATATATCTGCTATCTATAGGAATCCCAGCTCAGAAAAAAGGACTCACACATACCAATGATGAAGGGATGGAAAAAGATTTATCAAGCGAATAGAACGGAAACAAAAACTGGGATAGCAATACATACATCTGACAAATTACGTCTCAAAGTGAAGGACATAACAAGAGACAATGAAGACCACTTCATAATACTAAAGAGAGAAATCAAACAAGAAGAAATAACACTGATAAACATATGTGTAACTAATACAGGAGCACCCAAATGCAAAAAAATACTTCTGGAGGATATCAAAGGAGAGATTGACAGCATCGTAGGGGACTTTAATACCCCACTATAACCATTAGACAAATCCTCTAAAAAAATAAGCAAAGAAACATCAATCCTAAATGACACACTAGATCAGATGGAATTGACATCTTCAGAATATTTCACCATAAAGCCACAGAATATACATTCTTCTCAAGTGCATATGGGTTATTTTCAAAGATAGACCAAATATTGGATCACAGGCAAAGTCTCTTCAAATTCAAGAAGATAGACATCATATCAAGCATCTTCTCAGATTACAATGGCATAGAACTAGAAATCAACTACAATAAAAAAATTAAAAATCAAACACTTGGAGACTAAATAGAATGCTATTAAACAATGACTGGATTATCGAGAGATCAAAGAAGAAATAAAAAGTATCATGGCAAAAAATGACAATGGAAACACAACAATCCAAAATCTATGTGACACAATAAAAGCAGTCTTGAGAGGGAATTTCATAGCTCTACAAGCCTACAGCAAAAAGAAAAAAAAATGGGAATAAATTACCTAACCCTATACCTCTAAGAATTAGAAAGAGAGCAACAGGAAAATCCCACCATAAGCAAAAGGAAGGAAATAATAAAGATCATAGTGGAGATAAGTGAAATAGAGACCAAAAGAATAATTCAAAAGGTCAACAGCACTAAGAGCTGTTCTTTGAAAAAAATAAACAAGATTGATTAACCTCTAGCCAGACGCACCAAGAATTAAAGAGAGAGGACCCAAATAAAATCAGAAATGAAAGAGGTGAAGTAACAACCAATCCCATGAAATACAAATGATTATGAAAAAAAATACTATGAACAACTCTATTCCAACAAAATGGACAACCTAGATGAAATGGACATATTCCTAGAAAAATACAAGCTCCCAAAACTCAACCAAGTGGAACAAAAAACAAGCTGAATAGGTCAATAACTGCCAAAGAAATTGAAACAGCAATAAAAAATTTTCCAGTAAGGGGACAACCAAGATGGTGGCAAAGGTAAACACCTGAACTTGCTGCTGAACACAACCACATCAAAACTACAACTATAAGACAAAATGAATATCATCCATAACCACAGAAGCCTGCCTGAGTGGAAATTCTACAACTAGAAGGAAAGAGAAAGGCGTTTAGTCCAGTAAGAGGTGTGGAGGTGTGGAAGTGTGGAGGTACAGAGGCACATGCAAAAGGGGACAGCTACTGGGTACACTGTTGTCTTTTTCAATATCCTGGGAGATACAAGCTCCCAACTGCTTTGAACTCCCTTTCTGGGTAAGATTCTGGGGATCCAGATTCATATATCATATGGAGAGAAACTGGACTGCCTGGCATTGGGCCAAAATCCAGGGGTTTCATTCTCTCAGAGATACTTATAGTGAACATTGTTCCTGCACTGTGCTGCAGGACACAGAAACCTGGGGGCCTCTTCTAGGCAGGAATGATGGATAGCCATTACTATTTGCTCCATCCTGGTGATTCCCCCAGACCCTGCTCCACTCAATTTACAACCCCACCCAAGCTGTATGCAGAGGCTTTTGCATATGAATGGCTTTGCCTTTTGCAATCTAACAAACTGTAGCTGGGTCAGAGAGGCCAAGAGCTTCCAAAGGAAGACCCAAGGCTCCACAGCAGCTTGCATTGCTTCACAGCTGCACCTCATCTGGGCACCTCC